TTAATGAGATAAAATATTTGTTTATGAACGTCCAGGGGAGAGTGATATAAATATTATGTTGTGTGGATGTTCATAAGTTTATAGCCTCTTAAGATTTCATCTCATAGTTAATGACATTATACCTTATAACTCCTAAATTGAAGAGTTTCTAGTATTTATTCCCTATAACCTCCAATTGTACAATTATGTTGCTTAATTTCCTTCTTTATGTATTTGTAACTTTTTAGATTAGTCTTTAATGTTGGGATTCTATAAATAGGAGATGATGTACACATATTTGAAATAATGAAGTAGATGAAAATTTCTCCTTATTTTCTCTACCAATTTCCTTTTATTTTCTCCATCTCCCCCATCTCCATCTTTATACTTTTCTTATTCTCATAACAATTAGTAATTAATTCAAATTTTCAAGTTTTCTTTTTCATTTTAAAAGAAAATTTCTTCCGCTCATTACAAACCCTTTCATCCTTATAATTTTTATTTTAATGTTTGGGGGTGTTGAACTTGGAATTTGGATCATTCAATCAAATGTATTTAATTTCTCCTTCTTGAAGATTAGTAGGAGTGTAAGAAACATTGTGTACTATTATGTAAAAATTCCTTCCTAAATATGGCAAACGCTATGTTTGGCTTGATAGAGGGAAGGGAAAGAAGGGATTTCAATAGAGGGAAAGGGAGGGCAAGTGAAGGGAGGAGAGATATGGAGGGGAAGGGAAGGAAGGAGAGGAGAGAGGAGGAATTTTAATAATTCTTCGTTTGGATTGATTGAAGGGAAAGAAAGAGGAGGCATTTTAATGATACCTTATTTGACACAAGAGGAAAAAGGATAGGAGCTATTCAAAAATTTAAATTATTTTTTTTATTTTATCAATACGTATGAGGTAATTTATGAACTTTAAAAAAAAAAAACACACACTAGCTTGTGCTTTTGCCACAAGCACAACTCATTAAGAAAAACAAAACAAAACAATTAAAGTCCAATTTTTTTCCATAATGTTATTTGCTAATTCTACTGGGTTTAAAAGAAAAATTACATTTTTACCATTTTTTATCTTTCATTTCCTTATTTTTTAATTTTTAACTAATTAAAAGATTAAAAGATGCTTATTATCTAGCTTAACTTAATATTACTCTATATTGACTTTCTCAAAAATATTATAATTCTTTATCGTTTCTTTTTCTATCACAATGATTTTTATCATTTCATATGTTTTTAGCAAAATTTTAAGTAGTTTGATTTTTCTAGTAGAATTGTTGAATATAAGAGGAGAATGAAGTTGAGTATATTAAATTTATTAAAATTATAAGATTGAGAGAGAAGTGTAGAATGAAAGGGGTAAAGAGAGGATAAAGGAGAAATTATGTTATTTGACTAAGGTTACTTCTGAAATTAAATATTTTCTCTCTAATTATCCCTCCGAAGAACCCCACTTTTAGAGGGGAGGCCAAGAGGAGGAAAGGAGAGAATGGGAACCCCTCCCCTCCTTAAAAATTGTTCCAGCCAAACAAGACAAGGGGAGCAACTCTCTTTTTTTTATTAAAAAATAGTCCAGCCAAAAGAGGGGAGGGGAGCCACTTCCCTCCCCTCCCCTCTAAAAACCTCATATCAAACATTGTATAAATATCACAACTCAAAATCTAAAAGAAAATGACAAATAAAAAAACTAAAAAAATATGATATTCCAAATCAAATATCAAAAAGTTAAAAATAATAGAGAAAGAAGTAGTGACAATATACTATTTTGCAAATATAATTAAATGACTTAAATGTCCTCATATTAAAAAGTTTATTAATAAGTTTTGAAATAAATATTAAACAACAAATGACAATAAAAATATTGACAATGATAAGTTATTTATTAACAAGTTGTAAACTGATAATGACAAGTGTTGAACAACCAATAACAAGAAATATACTAGTATTATTTTTTTTTTTTTGGAAAAAAAAGGTCATGAGCCATTCTTTGCTCTCGCCAACAAATTTTCCAAAGATTGGGGAGGGGGACCGCCAAACAGTGGAAGAAGATGATCTACTGCAAAGAGATATGAAAAAAATTAAAAGCAGTGAAGGCATAGTTGTTTTGGGCAGCAGGAAAGGTGAACGTAGATCCTTCAAAGAGATTCTTCATGGTGCTCTTTTGTAGAGGAGTGAATCAAACGAGAATCTGCAAGAAGAAGAAGAGGATCTGGAATCAATCAGATCTGAAATCAAGGTTATTAAGCATCATAAAGGCAAAATTGAGATTCCTAAATTTGTTTTTACTGAGAGGGCTTTACATAAATACGTAAACATTATCAGTTAAGCCTGATCATTAAGGTTCTTGGTGGAAGATTCAATCTGAGAATGATGAATGAGAGGCTCCAAAAGATGTGGGCGAAAACTAGATCTATTGAGGTGATTGACCTCTCTAATGATTTTTTCATTGTCAACTTTTCTGTTGTTGAAGACTATGAGTTGGCTGTCTTAGTGTCACATCTTACTTATATAGTACCTTAGCATTCATTTAGAACCATGCCAGACCATGTTGGATGGTCTTACACTTAAAAATTTCAATTTAGACATTAATTTTCGGAAAATTACAGTTCACTGTCCAGTTTTCAGATTACAGGTCCAACTTTGAAAAATCATAACTAATTCTAGAAAAATCGTATGGAAGTGTTCCAAAATTCTACAGAAAGCACTTTCAATGCTCTTTAAGGGAAAAATATTCAACTGAACTCACCCTCACTGAAAACGTACAGTTTATTGGATTAAGATTACTATTCGTTTGGTAAAATCTGGACTTTCCAGATTCTCCGCCTTAACTTTGAAAATCCATATCTTTTTGTATACACATCCAAATGAGGTGATTCACCACCCATTTTAAAGCTTGGGATGTGAAATATAAGTATACCAAATTTCGTAGCTTAACTCATTCATATGATAGGCCAAAATAAAGCTCAAAACTAACTGCTCCATGACCTACATTTTATCCCTTAACATCTCTTTACTTTAATTCTTTTTATTTCTTTGGCATACCTAACTTGGGCTTACTTTTTCCCATTCATGCTCATACATTCCTATACATGCCATAAGCTTTATAATTAAATACATGGCATTCACAACATAAGTCATAACATAGGAGAATTATACATTGAATAATAATATCAATCATTAGCATCAATAACTCTCCACTTCTTCTCCTTGCTTCTCATGCCATTAGTGCCCACCATTGATTGACCTAAATGGTTGGTTAGGGAGGGGGTGAGATTCGGGGGAATCTCAGTAGCAAACAATACTATATTAATCATGTTAAATGGATGCTCATGCACTACACACAACTTGTTTATTCTCTTGTTAATTAGTAACATACTAGCATGCTCAAAGCTAACTTTTTGATGCATGGCCATGGAGACATAATCTAATCATCATGAATAGCAATTACAGCAGCTAAAACATGTCACAATAACATTCAATAACATGTACACGGCAACACACAAGCATACCACATCAAGCAATGACAATAGGTAAGTTCACTACCTTGCACCTCAAGCCTTCCTCTTACTTTTCCTTTGACTCCCTTGACTTTCCAACCATGTTAGCTTTTGGTCAACATCATCAAACATCCTCTTGGATGTTCCAAAGGTCCTAAACATAGTCATAATGATCATACAATCTATTAGGACCACTAGATTACATAAAGTTCAAAGCTAGCTCTCTTGAACCTCAACCCTTTCTCTTAGTCTTAGGGTTTTCTTTCTAGCTTTTCTAATATAAATCTCATCATTTCCTATCCTTATGATCCATTTCTTGTCAATTAGGACCACTTTAGATGGCCTTAGATTCAAGAATACCAAATCTGGAAATTTTGATTCGCAGGTACTGTTCATGCAGAATCTCCAGAATTTTTGTTCAACTTTGAAAATTCATAATTAATTCTAGAAAAATCAAAATTGAGTGCTTCCAAGTCTCACTGAAAGATAATTAAGTTAATTTTGAACTAAAAATAGTTTCAGGAACCAATTCTACGCTGAAAAGCACCGAAATTGTACGGAACTTGACACTCTTCTAAAAGTTCAACACTGTTTCCAGATTTCAATCTCTAACTTTGAAAAATCACCATAAATCGTACACATATCCAAATAGAGTGTTTTACCCATGGATTTAAAGCTCACAGAATATAATTTAAGCATGCAAAATTTCAGAATCAGATATGAACAGTAACTAATTCGAAATAGGTATCAAATCAGATGCTACAGCCACCACATACCTTGATCTTGAAGCTTGAACTGGACTTTCTCTCACTAGAAACAGCTCTTTCTCTCTCTAGATGCAAGAGTGGCAGAGTTTCCCCTATAGATCCTTGCTTGGCTGAAAATGAAGGGGAGGGAATGCCTATTTATAGCCAAAATTTTGGCTTGAATGGACCAAAATACCCTTGGTGGCTAATAGAAAAGGTAAGGGCAATTTTGGAACTTCAAGTTGACTTTTACATCATCCTTACATCATCTTCTTGCATCATGCTTACCTCAACCTTCTAGAAGATGCCAAGTGTCATAAAAGTGGTGAAGGAGATGGGAGATTAGATCCTAGCCGTTGGATCAAACTTAATTCCTCCTAATTTACTTGGCCCACGTTTCTCCGGCTTCCTTTATGGCCTTCCGGAGCTTAGAAAATTGTTCTGTCTGCTTTATAAATTCCCTTTAATTCTAGAGAATATCTATGAATTTTCTTAGGCCATAACACTTTCTTTAAACCTTGCATAAAAATTTATTTACCAAAATGCCCTTTTATCGGCAAAACCGGCTCTTTAATTTATTAAAGCCACTCCACTGGCCTTTTGGTTGCAAGACTAATTTTATAAATTAGTACAACCTTTCAACCATTTAACTTCATTTTTGTATACATTTTTGAGGTCTCTTGCTATTTTAAATAATTACCTCACATGGTATACTTTTTACCGGTAATAACCTCATAAATTCCGTTGAAGCTGCCTCAGGGTATTTTCATCTTTTCTCTTCACAGAAGAGCCTTAGAATATTATTTTTTATTTTCTAGGATTTTCTTGGAATTCTTTGCGTACTCTTCCATTTTTACCCCTGTTGGTCATAACTTTCTGAATTTACAGTTTAGTCCCTTCTTGGACTTAGTTTCATATAATCCTCTCTTTGAGGCTTCTAGCTTAACCTTTGGCCTGTATCTAGTCTTTTTTCTCTCTCTGGGCCTTCGAGACTTTACTAGAGCCTCTAACTTGATTACACTTGAACCCTTGAAAAACTTCTACTTTGCAGTTTAGTCACTGAAACTGCTTTGACTTCCTTTCTCATCTTTGAGACTTCTGCTCAAAAAGGGTCTGGTAGCCTATCCAATTCAGGCTACTTTTGATGCTTCTAGGCCCAAAAGTCTGGATGTTACACTTAGGAGGTCCATGGATGATATCAGATTTTTATGTTACTATAAGGAAGTGGAGACCTAATTTTGAACCTGCATCTGAGGCTATAAAAGATGTATTGGTTTGGGTTAGATTTCCATATTTGCCACTTGAATATTATGAAGAAGAGATCTTGGAAACCATGGGGAAAAAAGTTGGAAGCATTGTGAAAGTAGATATGTTGACTTCCCTAAGGGCTAAGAGGGTTATGCTAGAGTGGATGTTCAAGTAGATCTTAGTAAACCCCTCCTTCCTGCCTATATTCTTAATGGAAAAGAAACATCGGTTGTCTATGAAGGTCTTCATGCTTTGTGCTTCACATGTGGACGGTATGGACATACAATGAAGGAGTGTCATGAAGCTCAAGGGGAGACTCATGGAAGGGAGGAAGGTGGAGAGCAAATGAAGGAAGAGAAGTTATATAGAGAGTGGATGACTGTAAAAGGTAACAGAAGAACTAGAAGAAATAGAGGTGAAAATGGGAGAAATGCTCCTCAACAAGATGTTAGGGGCTCGAGATTTTCAAGACTTAAAGGCTTGGAAGAAGAAGGAAATGAGTTAGAAAATGTAGGTAAAAAGGAAGCGACACAAATACAAGGAACTATTTCAGTTAAAGAATGGGTTAAGAGGAAGGCGAAAGCAGTAATATCTAAAGAAGTGTCACATGAAATTGTAATGAGGGAAGCTTTAACTAAGAAGCCTAATGAAAGACTAGTTAGGGATCATACTTTGACCCAGAGATTGACTAAACAAAAGAGGCGGGCTAGAAGCAGAGGAGAGGAGGAAGTAAGTATTGTACAAACAGATACTAACATAATATTGTGATGGAAGGGAGAGAAGTCTTGGGTGAGATAGATACAAATGTTGTTTATGAAACCCCCGAAGTGGCTCAAGAAATCAACTTATTAAGGGGTACTAATACTAGAAGGCCCCCTGACAAAAACATAGAAGAGGGTATAGACCAACCGATAATGGGTGAAGATACTAATGTTAAGAGGCCTAGCCAAATGGTTAAGGGAGCTGTTATGAACCTTGATTGATGTCTAATCTTCTATTATGAATTGTTTTATGGATCAAACTATTTTAGTCTAGAATTGTAGGGGTGCTAGAAGTGCATCTTTTAGTAAAAGTTTAAAGATGATTGTCGATAACAAAAAACTTGATTTAATTGGATTACCAGAGACAAGAGTTAACCATCCGTGTGCTAAAGGTCTTTTTAAGAAATTAAGCTTTTAAAAGTGGATTGTGGTCTCTGGAATTGGCTTCTTAGGAGGTATATGGGTGGCTTGGAGTGACGAGAAGGTGTCAGTAGTGTTTATAAAATAAGACCTTCGGTTTGTCTACTTAGATGTGAGCTTTAATGGTGAAGAGAGTTGGAAAATCACCATAGCTTATGTTAGTCCGAGAGATAAGGAAAAGAGGCTATTCTAGGACAGGATGGTGGAAATTGCTAAAGTGAATGGAGGATTGTGGGCTATTATTGGTGACTTGAATGACATAAGGGGAGATGAAGAGAAGAGGGGAGGTGCACCAATTAATAGTAAGAGATGTGATGTTTTTAATGAAAGAATTAATAATTGTAATATGTTTGAAATTGGTGGCTGGGGACATAAGTATACTTGAAAGGGCCTTGCTGTACCAGGATATGAAAGAGTCTTTGAAAAACTAGGCCATGGGGTTTGCAATGATATATGGAGATGTAGATACAAGGAGGTAGTGGTTAAAGTCCTTACTAGATTGGACTGCTTTGACCATAACCCTTTGCTTCTTTGTTTAAAGGAGGAAACTAAAAGATCGGGGTAGCGACCTTTTTTATTTGAGGTTGCGTGGATGCTCCATGATGATTTCAAACCTTTTGTTGAAGAAAATTGGAGTAATAAGGTGTCTATTTGCCAGAACCTGATGGAGTTGCAATAGAAGTTGAAGTTGTGAAATGTAGAAGTCTTTAGAAACATTCAGAAGAAGAAAAGATAGATTTTAGCTTGGATTGATGGAATTCAGAATAAAATCAGTAGTATGGTTAGACCTTAGCGGTCGCTTGTGAACTTGGAAAAGAAATTACAGAAGGAATTGGAGGATGTGTTGAAGCAAGAAGAGATTCATTGGTATCAAAAGTCTAGAGGAGAGTGGATTATAGATGGGGATAGAAATACTAAATTCTATCACATCCTACTCTTGTGAGAAGAAGGAGAAATAAGGTTGCTATGTTGAAGGGTGAGAATAGAGAATAGGTGGAGGATGAGTTATTATTGCAGGGAATGGCTAGAGACTTTTTCACCACACTATTCAGGGAAGAAGGAAGAGTTGATTTAGAGCAAAGCTTGGAAACAACAACCACCTTTCCTAGTCTAGATGAGGTAGATTTAGGCATAATAGCTAGAAATGTTTCTGAGGAAGAGGTACATCAAGCTATGTTTTCTATAGGAGCTTTTAAAGCTCCTAAAGAGAATGGTTTTCTAGCTCTCTTTTTTTTCTAAATAGAATGGAGTATGATAGGGAATGATGTTTACTTTTATGTTAAATGACTTTGGAATGATGAGGAGGATTTGAAGAATATTAACAAAACTCTTGTTGCACTTATTCCTAAGGTAGACAGACCAGAAACTTAAAGCAGATGAGGCCTATTGCCCTATGTAATGCCTTGTATAAGTATGTGACCAAAATATTAGCTAGTAGATTAAAGAATAGTTTGAAGAAAGTTGTAGCACCTAATCAAGTAAGCTTTGTTCCAGGCCGTTATATTCAAGATAATATAATTGTGGCTCAAGAAATTATCTAGCCCATGAAGAAGATGAGGGGGAAAAGAGGTTTTTTTGCTATTAAAATTGACTTAGAAAAGGCTTATGATAGATTGATATGGAAATTTATAGAGGATGTATTGAAGGAGATGAATTTAAAGGAGGAGTTTAGAGACCTTATTAAGAGGTTTATTACTTCAGTGTCAACTCAAATCTTATGGAATGGCTATAAAACTGACGGTTTCTTCCCTACAAGAGGTATTAGAAAAAGGGATCTCCTATCCCCTTACATTTTTGTCCTAACCATGAAGAAACCTTCTCATATCATTCAGGATGAGTGGAGAAAGGGTGCTTGGAAAACTATTAAAATTGGAAGGAGTAGTCCTGATGTTACCCACCTTATGTTTACAGATGATCTAATTGTCTTTAGTGAAGCAATTGAAGCTCAGATGAAGGTGACCCTGGATAGTTTGAATAGATTATGTTCCTTTTCAGGTCAAAAGGTTAATGTCACTAAAACGGCTACGTTCTTTTTTAGGAACGTGGGTAGTGGAATTAGGAAAAACTTAGTCTTAATGTTCGGGTTTAAAGAAGAATGTGACTTGGGTATGTATCTTGGGATTCCTTTGTCTTATGGCTAAGGGAAAGGGAAAAGCTCTAGGTTTATAGTTGACAGAGTTAAGAGAAGATTAGCTGGATGGAACATTAACTGTCTTTCTATGGCAGGTTGCACTACCCTAGCTACATCTGTATTGGGAGCCCTCCCCATTTACCCTATGATGGTGAATTTGTTGCCTAAGGCTCTCCTAGATGAGATTGAGAGAATTCAGAGGAATTTTATCTGGGGTCATGACTATGACACAAGGAAATTACACCTAGTAAGTTGGGAGCAAGTTCAGAAACCATGAGATTGTGGAGGCTTGAGGGTTTTAAATTTGCAAGATATGAATCGTGCTTACTTCTTGAAATTGGCTTAGAAATTAAAAGTGAATACTCAAGGATTGTGGAGGGATGTTTTACTCCATAAATACAATAAGGGCAGGGAATTAGATGCGGATTTTCCTGTTCATAAGAATGCCTCCCCCCTCTAGAAAGACCTTGCTGAGGTTTGATCACTCTTAAATGGAAACTTATGGAGAGATGTTGTGGATGGTTGCTCCACAATCTTTTAGAAGGATGAGTGGGTGGAATAGGAACTTGTCTTATGGAATGAGAAGAGTGTTGATGTTAATGAAGGATCTCTGAATTGGCAAGTCTTAGATGTTGTTACAGCATTAGGTGAATGGGATTGGATGAAGATAGGACCTTTTTTACCTACTCAGATACAAGGAAAAATCAAGGCTTGTGTCCCCCCTCATAGAGAAGGGAGAGGTAGGTGGTTATGGAAAGGGAAAGGGGATGGATTGCACTTAGTTAGAAGTGGGTGCAAATTAATTAGGAGAGATAAGGTGGAAAGGGGTGAAAAGATTTGGGACCTAGTTTGGAAGTGGAAAGGACCAGAGAAAATCCGCTTGTTCTTCTGGTTAGTAGCTCAAGACCGCCTTTATACAGGAGATTTAAGAAACAGATGCTAGGGGGCAAGCAGTATATGTGACGTTTGTGGTGCTAGAGAAACAACTTTTCATGTGCTTAAAGAATGCAGTTTTGCAAGTAGTGTCTGGGATGGTTTGGGTTGGTTAGATAAGAATTTCAGAAGGGACTTGGCAAGTTTGAATCTTTTAGAATGTGAAATTATACAGCAGTGGCTCCAGACAAACAGAACGATTTAGATCCATACCATGGCGTGTGATTTTTAGTGTGACTTGTTGGACTATTTGGAAACAAAGGAATGCAAGACTATTCAAGGCTGATCCCTCTGATTCACGCTCCTGTGTTGAGTAGAAATTTGCTGCAGAAATTAAGCAAGCTCATAAAGATAAGATATTAGTAAGACAGTAGCTTTACAAGAAGAAGGACTTTACCAATGGAGGAAGCCAAAGAAGGGTTGGGTAAAGGCCAACTACGATGGTAGGGGTAACCTAGGCTTCTTAGGGTGTGGAGGAGTGCTTCGAGATGATGAAGGAAGATGGATCAGTGGTTTTGCAGAGCAAGTAGATTTTGTGATGCCTTGGATGCTGAAGCATGGGGTGCGAAGAAAAGTTTAGATATAGCATGGGATTTGGGAATTAAAAATTTAGTGCTTGAGGTGGATTTGGAGGAATTAGGAAGGAAATTGAAAGGGAAAGAAGTAAAGAAGGGGTACTCAAATTGCTTGATAGAAAGTATTTTGAAACTCTTGTCACGAGAATGGAGAGTTAGGCTCGGCGGAAGGCAAACGAAAGTGTTGATAGAATGGCTAAGTTCAGCTTTGAGAAACAAGGGAGATGGAGCCACGTGAAAGATGTCCCACTACATATTATACAGCTAGTGGAAAGAGAAAGAATTGTATGTGAAGATATTGTAGCAGTTTTGGAAGTTTTGAATCTCGATGGTATATGATAGTGTTGAGTCTTGGGTTAGAGCCCTCTCTTCCAACTAAAAATAAAAAGAAAAGTACTGACATTGACAAGTTGGATAGTTTTTTTTCTCCAAATCTAATATAAGGGCATTTTGGTCATTTAATTATATTTGCAAAATACCAGATCATACACCATTTACTTCTTTGTCATTTTTAGCTTACTGATTGGACAATGATAATTTCTTCTCTTTGGAGTTTTCGCAATCCAAAATTAAAATGATTCTAGGTCTATCTGTGATGATGCCTAGACATCCTAAATGTGCGATCAACTATATACTAGAAATCTTGTAATACCCAGATGATATTCAGTCGGGTCGGGTCAGATCTCACAATCAATGTATTTTACTTGGTGTATTATTAATAAAATCATATTACAATTCAAAATATATTATTATGAAAAAGGTGTTATTTAAATGCATTAATAAGAAATTATTAATTAGAGAATTAACCAATCAAATTCAAAACAATGAAATTATTGTGTTTCAAATGGATTTCTGAATTTATTGATTGGGATATTAATACAATAATATCTTTTATGGCATATATTAATTATATTAGATTGAAAATGGATTTTGAAAACTATATTAGTTATAATAATAACATTCAAAATAACATTTGAAAAATAACACGTCTTTTCAAAAAAATTATCTTTTGTTGATAATAAGAACAGCTTGATTATAAATTAATTCAATAAGGAATGATGGCACTCGTCCTAATAATTGACTTAAATTAAATGATGATTTCAATGTCCATCCAAAAATATTCAATCATACGAGATTTGTACATATTAAATTAAATAAGGTGCATTATAATTATAATCAAATGAGAATTCAATTGGACAATCAAATTGAGAAATTAGAATCCCTATTTCCATTCAAACTGTATGGATTAGAGAACACTAAGGAAAATTTTAAATTAAAATCAAGGTAATGAAGTAAATTGATTCTCATATGATTTTCAAATAAATTTCTCTAATTAACCCATTGATCACTTTGGCGTGCATGATATTAATTACGTCATTCTTTTGACTAATTAATTTCCATTGTGAAGACTATACATGATAAAAAGGGCAACGCTCCCCACCATTTCTTTCACTTTATTTACAACGCTCTCCATAATTAACCCATTCTTTTCATGTTATTTGCTGAATTTCTCTCAATTAATCTGTCCTCGCACAGTTTCATAGTTCGATGTCAAAGTAAGTAGTAAACTTCTCTCACAATCTGATCAAGGACGTAGATTGTAGCAAAGAAACATGGTGCATCATTGTTAGAGTGCTAAGACAGTGGACAGTCGCTAAGAAGTCTCCACCCTTTGATGTCTAGAAAGTTAGTATGATTTTATCCAATGAAAAGGTTAGTAATTAATAATATTGTTTTGTTCATTAAAAAAAATGCAATGAACTCATTTCATTGTATTCTATGCAACCAGGGTGATAGGATTGAAGCTTCGGTTGCTCATAAAGGACATATACCAAGATATGTCAAAGATTTAGTACAGGGTAGGGTTTATCAATTTGAAAACTTCGAAATCGTGGACAATGATGATGACAGTTACAAAACTTGTGACCATCTTTGCAAAATTATGTTTCATGTAATGACATTTTTTCAAGAGCATGATTTGCCAATCCCCCTATATGCATTTAACTTTGTTCCAATCAAGGACATTGCCAACAACAATGCCAAAAACAATAAATTAGTTGATTAGCATTCCTTTCCTATATTGTTTTCGTTGATTGTATCCAATGCACGTTTATGTTTTGAGTGACATTATATCTATTTCAATTTCTTCTTACCGATTCAACAAGTTCATGCAGATATTATTGGATTTTTGCAAGCATTTAGGAACTTGGTTGATCATAAAAATGAGTCTAGAACAATGAAGAAATTGGCTCTCACCATTACTAATAAAAAGTAACATACTTCTTTTTCTTATCTAGGACCTCTAACAAGTGAGGATAAAAATAGATGATTGGATGTCAATTTGACATATTCTTATCTTATTATTTTTTATTTGCAGTGAAATCTGAGTAAACGTATCTCTTTTTGGAGAGGTTGCAAAAAAGGCATTTGAGGCCACGACAGATGATTTAGAAGTTCCCACCATAGTTGTCATACGGTTTGCTAAGATTGCAAAGAAAAAAGTATTGTACATTGTTAGTAGTATCTCACTTATTCATGTTTTTTTTTATGAGACTTACACTTCAATTTCAATTTTGGTTCAAGGTTATGGACACATATCTAATGTCTTTTATGTGACAAGAGTTTATTTCAATCCAAATTTTCCAAAGGTCAGGAGTTTCTTTGACAGGTAAAAACTTATCGTTGTTTTATATTAATCAAGCATTTGTCTTGTAAGTGTGTGTGTGTATCATGGTGTTCCCAAACTTAAATCTTAGCTTCCTTTCATAGCCTCAATGATATGTCTAGAGCAAATCAGGCTTTCTTGCAAATCTCCTCTATTATATCGCTTGAGATTACCAGTGACTCTCTCTTAACTTTCCCTATTAGAATTCCATTGGGTGAAATTTCTAGATTAACAGAGGCCAGTTTTTTCATTTCATTAGCTTTTTGTCATAGTAATTACTTTTTAAATGTTTGAATGTTTGAATTACTAACTTTTATTTTCATGTAATTTATTAGGCATCAAAAGTTGTTACCAAAGTAACCATCTAAAAACTTTGAGACATCTTATGGTTGGTACTATGATGGATGTCCATGCGATAGAAAACCAGCATATGAGGGTGATAAGTTGAAATGTAATTCTTATCATAGGGAAGTGCTAATGACTGAACCCAAGTAAGTTTCAACTAATGTCAACATTCTCTAACTATGAGTTTTCATAGCACTTCATGTTAACAGTTGAACCTTTATTTGAAAAGGTTCAGGCTTCATTACATAGTTTTTGATTTTACTGCAAAGGGTTCCATACTGTTCTTCAACCATTATGCATCTGAACTCGTACATTGTTCAGCGGTTGATCTTAGGAAGGTGGTACTCAAGGTTTGCAGTTATATATATAATGAGATATACTTTTTGTAGGTTGTTGTTTGTTGTTATATTTGTTTCAAAATATGTCTTGTAATTTTGTGTGCATTGTGAAACTATGACAAAATTATTCATAATTCACAACTCATGTAATGCACGGGAGAGTTTTTTAGTTGTATAACAAAATGTGCGATCCATAAAATTATGGTGTTTGGGCTATGATGGGAGTAATATGAAAAACTACTATAAGCTATACCTAGAAATTAGCTGCTTATGACTTATGACTTTTGGTTTTTGAAATATGAAGAGAGGAACAATTAAAAAATTTACTATTTTTTTTTCTGGTTTTTATCATAAGTATCAAATAATTAATTTACAGATAACAAAAAATCAATTAAAATTAGTTGAAAATAATAAATAATTTAGAAATATACTTTTATTTTCAAATATAGCTTTATAATAAATGATAAAAAAGATAAAAAAAATTACGAGATTAGCAGGAGCATATACATTTAAATTGAAATTAATAAAATAGATCACACTCCTCCTAAATTTGGAGCTAAGATCAGGAGGAGCTTATAAATAGTTTAAAATTATTATATAATGTAAATTGATAATTTTTTTATTTTTTATTATTTAATAAAAGTCATACCTATTTTGATAATTTTATGAACTAAAATTATTTATTGAATCATAATTCAAACAACTTATTTGCAAAAACTAACTTATTTATAAAAGTCAATTCAAACATAAATCACATTCTTTTTATAGGTATAGATATCTTCCTATTGAAAGTAATCTTGTTTGAGATACTATCACGCACTAAATGTGGATACCTCCTCCAATAAAAATTCAAACATTGATTCACTATATTGTCAACATAAATTGTGTTGCTCAATTTAACTTTTACCTAATCTAATTTTTTTAAAAACTAAAAAGATATTTGAATAAAAACTAAACTATAATTTTAAAAATAATTTTATGAGTATACGAGATAAATACTTAAAAAAATTTGTTTTTAAAAAGCAGCCCTAGACATTTGCTACAATCCAAACGGGCGCTATGACTTCTGAGGCATCATCACCGGCCTTGGTCTTGCTCTGCTCTGCCTCGTGCTCACTGACCCAGAAACGAGGTCATCGTATCGTAAAGATCTGAGAAAAAGGAAAACACAGTAATGGAGAGTAGCGAGGAAGAAGATGACTTTCCTTCCATTGAAGGCATAATCCCGCAGAGCAAGGTTGACTCCCTCTACCAGTCCCACACTGAAAAGGTTCGCTCTTCTTCTAACTTCTCCAATATTGATCTCCAACCCTTCATTTTGTAAGTGCATTAGCTAAATGTTAGTTCCCGAGAACAATGAACTCAATATTCGACATAAAAATTGGGATTTTGGGTTGTTATGCTTGATTTGTCGCTGTTCACTTTGTCTGCTAACTGACGGGGATTTTGGCTACCTCTCAAATTTACTTTCCTGTACTGCTTTTTAAGAAAGTGGTTGACTCCGGTTCTCCCATTGAGATTGATTACTGATCGTGTCTGATTTAATGTTATCTATTTGAATAACGCCTTTGATGTTTTGTGGTTTGGACGAGAGCATTGTTGTCTCTTCCCCAGTATGGAAAATTTCCAATATTTTTTGTTTTGGTATATTTGCTGGGAAATTATGACACGAACCAGGCCAGACCTTCGACATCTCACCTGCATTTCATGCGCCCATGTAGATTGGCTTTGTGCTACATTCGAGCCATGGGCAAATACTTCAATACCATCTTCAATACCAAGGCTGTACAATTGCGGCTGGATTGTAGTGGAATGCTCTGATATGTGATAAGAACTCATCTGGAAAGATTTTGGGGTGTCTCAAAGCCTTAAGGGTCATCTGTCTTGATTTTTTTCCAATAAAGGACATATCTTGCTTACTGTTTTGAAACTTCAGCATCAGAAATGAGCCACCCTGAGTGGCTTCCTTCAAGATGTGTTTTTGACCTTCTTGAGCTCTAGGCAGCCCTTTCTTTTGGCATCCCTTCTATGCTTACCAGCTCTTTGTAAGAGCGCTGATTTCATAGTTCAAGCTATCTATACATATGAGATTCCCTACTCTATGAAATAAAATCCCTTGTGATCTTTATCTTTAGCAGATGTCCAAGACATCTCAGAAAGAAAAATACGCTTCAATGCAATTCACATGGCTTTCTGATTAAACCAACTTTCGTAAACTGCCTCACAATTTCCTATCCTTCTGTTAGGTAAGGATATAGGTTGGTTTTGAGGCTAAATCCAATCAGATAGGGATCTCCTTGGAGGGAAAACTGATCAGAAACACCAAATTGAGGACACGAATACTCTCCTCCTACAAGAGCTCCAAAGACAAAGAAATACCCCTTAAAATCCAAGCATTCTTCTACAACCAACTGCACCATAATACTGCACATTGCCACAATGATTTATCCTCTTTTACTTCCAATCTCTGATGGCACATCCTTTGAGAAAGATTTGTCCAATTCACTTTCAACATTTCAGTAATTTGCTTTGTGTATATAAATCATTTATTTTAGTTTCTGTATTCATGTTTAGTAGAGATGGATCTAGATCTAAACATATGGAGGGACAAAACAAAGCTAAATAATATTCCCCCTGTTTTTCATTCTTTTTTTGTGGCAGTGGCCCCCCCGGGGGCTGCTTGCCCCCTACATGTTACTTTGGCTTGAGATTTATGCTGTAAACTTAGGGGATGTTTGGATAAAATCAAACCATGGTTTGGAAAATAGCTTCTGGAGAGTAGATTCTTGGGAGAATAGATTTTGTGAAGAATAGATTTTATGAAAAATGATTCTGATAAAGTAAGAGTGTTTGGATAGTTGTTATGAGAAGCACTTTTTATATGTGCAAATTATTAAAAGGGGCATAAGTTAATATTATAATTACATAAAAGATGGATTTTATAATATATTTGAATGTGAAGAAATAAATTTGTTGATAATATATTTTTTTACCAACATAATTAATAATATATAAGAAATGTAATTAATAAATAATTAATATATGTATATATATTTATAAAACATAAGATTAAATATGGCCATAGAAAAATGGTTTTTTTTCCACTAACAGAAAAAAATTAATTTTCTTTAAAGATTTTAAACATGAAATCCCATAACATTTTTTCATAACTATTTTTTGTAACAACAGACTACCTCCGAGGTTAGATTACAAAGAACCTATGAATAGATGGGAATAACAAAGAGACAAGATTACCCATACTTGTCTATAATGAATTAAAATTAAACTTGTGTATTTTTTTGGGTCAAAATTTATAATAGCCCTCTCCATATAAATAATAATATTTTAATCAAGAAATATAAAGATAATTCGTTTGGATTTACAGTATGATCTTAAAATCACTGTGAGCTTTCTCATTCAAATAATTGCACAAATGAATATTATTCAAAGTTGTACGAATTCAATATAAAATCGTAGCTAGTTCCTGGGAGGGTTTGAGAAGGTAAATCACTGATCTTTAAACGGGAATGAATAACAATATTATAGGACCAAAGGCGGAAGAGAATGAAGACAAGAAATGAATAATTGAGGGTATATCCGTTTGGGCCAAAAAAAAGAAGAAGAAAAAAGCACATATCCGTTGGAATACACAAAACCCACCCTTACACTCTCCAATTTTCTCCCCAAAAGCATATCCATTTCGCTTCTCCCCAAACCATGGTTTCTGCTTTTTCCATAGTGTTTGGCAATTTTTTTTGCCCAAACCATACCCAAACAGGGCCTTATGTTTATATGGCCCTGCTCCAGGCCTTTTTTATCTCAGCTAAACCTGACTTTGGATTTGACACAAATGATAATGTTGTCCAACATGATTGTAAATAAAATGGGTTGCACTGGAGCTTTTAATTAGGCTTCCAATGAATTATGCATGTAGAGCTGATGTATATGGTCATAAAAATTCATCGTTCTGGCCATTGAGGGAAAAAATATTTCGATTTTCATCTAGTTTGGTTAATACTGTGATAAAATAAATCAACCAATCTGAGAATTGCCCTATCTTTGTAACGTTGTGCATCTATGCGGAGGGAAACTTTTTTATTAAGAATTGAAATCATAATTTTATAATGTCTTTGTTATAAACCACAATGGAAAATCTATTCCATGTTAAATTAGATGCCTGTGATGTGCTTTTGAAAACTTGACGTGTTTTAATGCTTTCAAATTGCTTGACCTTGTAGGGCTTATGATGCCAATCTCTTTTTAAGTTATTTTTATTATTTTTAGGTGAGTTCATTTCTAAGGAGGGCAAGAATTGCATAATCATTATAAATTGCACGGTGAATTTATATTTTAGATTGTGATGAAACTTCATTTCTGCAGGGGATTAGAAAGCTTTGCTGTGAGCTCTTGGATTTGAAGGATGGTGTGGAGAACTTATGTGGCAATATGCACTCAAAGTTCCTGGCTTTCTTGAGGTAATATATGTCAGCTTCGTTAAATATTTCTGAATCTCTTCCATCTATTCTTTCTTAATAATCATGTACCATTTTTTGGCCAACTGAATTTGGTGATGTTACCCTAAGGTATGCCAGAAAATTGTAATGACGTCTAAATTTTCTGCTAGATAAAATCATTTTCTTTCATTTTGTATGTACAAACAAGACAAACTAGGCAATATCCATTCTGTAGTAGAAATGGCAGCTAGCAATTTCATCTTCTTTATTGGATTAGGCATGCATATAGTTAAAGTTTTTAAACTTTTTGAGTTTACGACACAGCATTTCCTATAGAAAGAATGGGAAACCCATTGAATAAATCATCATCTTTAATGTCTGCCCAACGAAATTAGAATACGAGTGAAAATTTTTGATGTAGAACTATCATTATCCAGAGTAAGAACCTATCGGAAGAATGATTCAGAAATGTTTTTCATATTATTCCATTGTAGAGATAGTACATAAATAGGGTCAGATTTCCTTACAATATATTTGGAAATCTGATTGTATTGAATAGAATTTATGATGGGGAATCCCCATGATTAGAGACCGTGATTCTAGGTGATTTAGAAAAGGAAATACACAGCTTTAAGGGATCTGATCCAAATGGCTAGTGCTAGGAATTAGGGATTCGATTTTGACACTTCCTCTCAAGCTGGAGAATAGATGTCAAGCATTCCCAGCTTGCTTCGAAGCCCTTCAAATTGTACCCTCGCTAATGGTTTAGTCATCATGTCTGCAATTTGGTTGGAGGACTTTATGTTGGATAGATTTATGATGCCTGCTTCCACTTTCTCTTTGATAAAATGTCTGTTTATTTCCACATGCTTTGTTCTATCATGGTAGACATGATTCCTTGTCATTTCAATACTTGCCTTGTTGTCACACTAAAGATAAAGAGGTCCCTCATAGGGTATTTTGAGCTCTTTAAGGAGCCTTGTGATCCAGATTCCTTCACACATTCCTAGGGCAGCTACTCTTAACTCAGATTCAGCGCTACTTCTAGATACTACGGACTGCTTCTTGCTCCTCCATGTTACCAAGTTCCTCCACACATATGTGCAGTATCCTGTAGTGGACCTTCTATGCTCTACTACTCTCCCATGATCTGCATCTGTGTATATTTCTATGCCTCTCCTTCTATTTTTCTCAAAGAAGATTCCTTTTCTAGGATTAAGTTTTAGATGACTTGGGATTTTGAGCACGGCTTCCATATGTTCTTCTTAAGGTTAGTGCATGAATTGGCTTACCACTCCTACTGCATAGCTTATGTCAGGGCGTGTGTGAGTTAAGTAAATTAACTTTCCCACCAGCCTTTCTGAGTTAATTGGAGTGCCGTTTGGTTTCACCTCTAAGTTGCAAGTAGCTTCCATTGGTGTTTCACTAGGTTTTGATCCGAGCATTCTTGTCTCATAGAGAAGGTCAAGTGTATACTTCTGTTGGTATACATTAATCCCTTTCTTTGTTCTTGCCACTTCCATGCCTAGGAATTACCACTCATCTGCCCAAGGTCTTTAACTTGAAAATCTATAGCCAATACCCTCTTTAGTAGATTTATTGTCGTATCATCATTTCTTGTGATTACAATATCGTCAACATAAACAATAAGTATGGTAACCATCCTATTGTTATGTCTTACAAATAGGGTTTGGTCTGCTTCCCCTTGGAGATACCTGAGGCACTTTAGGACCTTTGTAAATCTATCGAACCAGGCCCTAGGTGATTGTTTTAGT